CGTGGTGTGGGGGTGGCGGTTGCGTAGGGGAGGCGGCACGCTCCTGGCTGGTGCCTGGCATCGGTCCTGTGCGGAGGAATCGTTGTGTAGCGAGCTCTGTAATGCGGTCCTGAGGCATTCCTTCTCGAGGGTTTTCTGAACCAGGCAAGATGCACTGGGAGAGGTGCCACAGCCCGTTAAAGTAACCGACATAGGCAGAAGGACCCGGCACAAAATCCTTTTCCCCTGGTGCAGTTCTTCAGGAGGATGTCATTTCTCCTAAACGTGCCTGATTTTCAGCTTTCTCAGTTAGTCCACTGAAGTGCATGCGTGAGGAAGATCTCGATAGTTGATTTAGGCTACAGAAAAATAGCTGGAGAATAGAAGGGAGCGCTAGTACACCTGAACGTTTTATAACCTCTATAATGCTTCAACATAACTTACTAGGTGGTAGCTGATGTTGGTAGGCTTTTGCTCTGCATCCTGTGGGAGATAACGGTGTACTTATTACTTGTAACATGCGCAGTAAGACCCAGCCCTCGCCAGAATCAGTAGAACCTGGTAGGCGTTTTTCGCTGAATTTTGGAGCAAACCTTTGGCCAACGTAGGTGAGCTTTGGGTTGCCTACCTGCATAGCTGTATGTTAGACTCTGAGTCTTCAATTAGCTGGACGTTTGTGTAGTTGTTCTTGTATCTGATCCCTTGTGCTTCAGCAACACGGCTGACTGTATGTGCGGATTTGGTAGCTCAGAGCTTGTGTTTCCTAAATTTAGACGAAGAGGTAAGGGAGTGTGTGGAAGGCGTATGAGGGGTTCATGACTCTAAAGGCCAGGGGAAAATTAAAACTTTCATCTGCGGAGGAAAAGGAGTAATGAGCTGTGCTGTCATACGGTACTCCTGTGCTGTGTGGGTGTGACGAACCGCGTAGACCTCTAGGATGATATCCAAAGATCATAGTGCCGTCATTCATTGCGTTTCTCTCTGCTTTCATGTAAAGGTGTTTTGAGGCGATGTGTCTGTGCATTATTGACAGGCAATACCTCCTCAATTCTTTATAACTGGGGGGCAAAAAAAAAGCCAGAAGATGTCTTTGGAGGTGTCGGGGGAGGGCTGTATGTGCTTCCATATGTGGCTCTTCCACCTTTGCTGATCTGTCGCTGGAGATGTATGCAGTGAAAAATACTATAACGCGAAGTACCAAAGAGCAGGGAACAAGCTTAGTATTACAGACATGGTGATGCTTTAGTTTCATCAGCACCAGATCACTAAGGTGAATTTAGAACCATAATACAGTTGTAGTATTAATATGACACCCTGTACTACTGTCTAATCTGGGGACTGTTTTAAAAAAAATTAAAATTATTTCATTTAAATCACTTCATTTGACTTTAAGAATTTGTTGGGTTTGACCACGAATGAGGAAGCAGCTGTGAGCAGTGGAGAGCACAAGTGGAACGGCGCAGCTGTCGGAAGATGATGTCTTACGTAACACTCCTTAGTTGCTTTGCTTTTTCTGTTTTGCCCGAGATCCTAGTTTCAGCATCACTGCATTCAGGTTTTGGGGTTGGTTTTTTTTGCTTTTTGGGCTTGCTGAGTTTCAGAGGGCTTATTTGTCCAGCACTTAAAGCAAGGCTAGTGGGATCTGGGAAGTCCTAGGTCAGTGATGCCAAACACTGTCGCTGCTCCTGCCTCTCTCAAATTTGTGACGAGTGGAAAATCCTACTTGTGATAGGCTCATCTCCCTCTCACCTTGTCTGTTGAAGGTGTTGAGAAGGTGGCCAGGAGGTTCATGCCCAAGCTTCAGGAGCGTGATCAAAGGTCTTGGTTAGGGACATTCCTTATTCTGTTTTATGTAAGAGGAGACAGTGGGATGACTCCTTTACCTCTTTTGTGTGCGGGTTTTTTTTTTTTTCTTTAAACAGGGACTTCAGTATATTTTGCCTTGGCTAAGAGTTAGCACCCTGAAGTTGTAGGTGCTCTTTTTACAATTAACAACTCTGTTCGCTGAAATACTACTAGTGGATGTACTCAGTTGTAAATATGTGAGTAGTTTTTATGTGGGACTGCTTAGCTAAGACAAGTCTAAGCAGGCTGGAACCATGATACTGTAATCTATAGATTGCATCGTCATATTCTCATTTGATTTTCAAAGCTTTGTACTGTTGTACTATACTTTGTGCTAATACTTACATTTTTATTTTAGAGTTGCTACAAAAATTTACAATAAAACCGGAATTTAACCAGTTATGGAGCTGGCACATAGTTTGTTACTGAATGAGGAAGCATTAGCTCAAATCACAGAAGCAAAGAGACCAGTCTTTATCTTTGAGTGGCTAAGATTTTTGGATAAAGTGCTGGTAGCTGCTAACAAGGTAATTTAACGTTGGGTTTTTCTCCCCTTCTTTCTAAAACACTTGTATTAATTTCATGCTAGAGAAAGTTGACGGGTAATGGCCTGGTGATAACTGTATGATTTCAGACTCAGCCTGAAGAGCCTCTGTATTAGTTTGTCGTTTTTAAGTGTTTAATTGTAGGCAGTCAGTATGACTGTTATATAACACATAGCTTGGTTTGAGTTCTTCATTGTCGTAAATATTTGAAAGGCAAAACCTTCCCTCCCAGAGTAGGAATTCTTGATTGTAAAGAAGATTAAAAGATGTTGTAGGCAGGTATTACTGTATTTTTACTAAGTATTTTTAAAAAGTAAAAATTAAATAGGGTAACAGCTAATTCTGAGCAATTTAGCATCTGTCTCTGCTATTATCGAATGTATCTCAAATCTCTGAGACAAGCAATTTGCTGAATTACATACAAGTGGGAGTGAGATAAAATTTGCTTCGATCTCTTGTAGGTTTTTCTGGGTGTTGGAGGCAAGACACAGGATTAAATGACTTATTTTATTTATTTTTGGTCCATTAACAGACAGATGTCAAGGAAAAACAGAAGAAACTTGTAGAACAGCTAACAGGACTCATCAGCAGTTCCCCTGGGCCACCTACACGAAAACTACTAGCAAAAAATCTTGCTGCTCTCTACAGCATTGGAGACACATTTACTGTTTTTCAGACGCTTGACAAGTGTAATGACATCATCAAGAGCAAAGATGATACTGCAGCCTACCTGCCCACGAAACTGTATGTTAAATGTTACTAGGGAAAGGGGAATGATTTTTAAACAAAGTGGTCCTGGATATTACAGAAGAATCTGCCTGTATATGTGCACGTTATGTTTACTTACATTTTGCATGCTTATTTGGAATTCACATATGCTTGATACAGCAGAGAAAAGAGCAGGATTGAGATTGTGGAGGGCAGGACTCAAAGGTGACACATACATGTTTATCTGAAAGTGAGATGCTTTCCCCTAGGCGAGGGACTGTCTTATGTTTCTTCACATGCTTATGTCATGGAGAGGGTAACAGTTGATAAAGTAATGCAATGAAGAAATACCACCAGTGGGATTATTGCTGATTGGGCTCAGGTACCCCATTTAAGATGGAACCTGCAGATTGTCAAACGAGCATTATCTATGCCCAGAGAACTCTAACCGAATGTTCAAGGTTCCCCCCCTCCCCCCCCATCAAACATTGCCTGTTTATATTCCCCTCCTGTGATACACCACGCAAGTCTCTCAGAGTCTGTATACTCGGATGTGTGTGTGCATGTATGTGTGATGCAGTTCGTCTTACAGGAGGAGTCTCACTGGTAGGAATTCAGTTAATGCCACAAACAGCTTCCGCTGAAAAACTGTTTTTTAACTGAAACTTTCCCACACGTACTGCTTCATATGTTCACAGTGTCTAGTGAACCCCAATTTAGGCTTGCCTTCAGACTTTATCATAACAATAGGGATTTAACAATAAAATCTGAAATAGTCACCATTCGGGCAGATACTGTCCTCCTTTTATTTGAAGCTGTTGCAACTCTGTGAGGAACTTGTATAAGTGGGAAGGGTTTTGTACTATAACATGCTCTGACGCTTATGCTATCCCCTCAAGTGGTAGTCCAGAAGGTTTTTTTACTATATGATTTCAAACTTCAGTTTTTGATGTTTGTGTAGGAGACATGCCTGTTAAGGGGTAGGCTGTAACGAGTTTGTAACAAATAGCTTTGCTAAAAAGTCATTTACCCAAGAATTTCAGGTTTAGAAAAAAGCCTTGTTCCTTTGTGATTAAAAAGTGCATGTTTTCAAGGAGCTGCTTCTGTGACTG